CCCCCAGGGGGACTGGACCTGCCACTTTCTCCGTCTTTCATGGGCCACAGCTCAGTGGCTTCTGGCTTAGGCCAACCTTCTCTGTCACATTCTCTGTCCCACACACCTGCTCTCCAGAGCCCTCGACCCCATTCATCCTGCAGTTTCAGTTTCCTCAGGAAATCTCCTTCTCTCCTTCTACCTCTTCGCCCTTCTGCCTCCTTCTCAGTCTTTCTGCCTTTTGTGAAATAAAAAATTAAAAAGGAAGAACCATCGGACCAGAATCATGTGTGATCTTCATAAAAGCAATATCAACAATAGCCTTAAATCAAAATGGGTCCATTTTGAAAGTCGATTAAATACAGAAAAGGCCAGTGTCATTCAAGAGAGAAGAAAATAAGGCCAGAAAGGATCTAGAAATCTTCAAAATCTTCACGGAACTCCCACCTGCTTCCTTACTCCTCTCTGATTAGCTTCTCCCCTTCCAAATGTCTAATTTTAATTTTAGTTTTGGATTGATTTTTTTCCACCGTGGGTGTATATCAGCCCCACCATGTTCAACAGTGTCTTGGGCACCAGCCTAGGCCGTCCAGATGCCCATTTATAACATGGGTCCTGGCAGAGACAGAGCCTCAGGGGCTGGCTTCACACCCGTTCCACATGCAGCAGAGCTTAGTGTGCACCACCCGCTGCAGGGAGGGACGCGCGGTCAGCTGCCGCCCGCGTAACCATGCTCGTGTCTGTTACTGTCCCACTGAGGCTCCTCACACCCCGCACTCCCCCTGATCAGGTGGACTTATCTGTACGGTCCACCCCAGACTTTAGCACCAGCCGTCCCAGCTTGAAGGGGCCTTCCTCATACCACAGGATACTGTCACCCCCACCCTTTCTAAAACTATCTGTGTCAAAATTCACTAATTAACTTCCTTCTCATGAATCCTGACTTGTTTGAGGACTCTGTTTCAATGGTAAGAAACCCTAGCTGCCTGTATCGAGTGAGCATTCTTTTGTATTAAGAACAGTTCACAACATCCACTTGATTTGTGCACACACTAATGGTTTAGATCGGAAGCTGGCAAACTTATTCCCTAAAGAGCCAGACAGTATGTATTTTCAGTTCTGAGGGCCGTCCTCTCTGTCGCGACCGCTCAGTTCTGCTGTTGCAGAAGGAAGGCAGTCTTAGGCAATCCACAGTCAGTGTGGAGGTATTCCAATAAAACTTTATTTGCAGAAAGCAGGCAGCAGGCCAGATTTGGCCCGCAGGTCATAGTTTGCCAAGCCCTGGTTTCGAACACAGACTCTAGAGCAAAATGGGCCAGAGTTTGAATCCCTACTCAGGTAATATACTGGTAAATTAGGCAGATTCCTTAATCTCGGTTTCCTCATCTGCAAAGTGGAGATGACAGAGGAAATGCCTGACCCTTAATAATGAATGGTTATCATATGCCAAGCCCTTCACGTTCATCATCTCATCTGCTCCTTCCATGCAGGAAGCACTACCGTTGTCCCCTCTGTACAGATAAGGAAACTGGGGCTCTACAGCTTCTCACTTGCCCAAGGCCGTACAGTTAGGGAGAATGGACCTGGGACTCTAAGCTGGGCCTGCGACTCCAGCTACCAGGCTGGTAGCTCCTAGGCTGTACTGCCCAGAGGCTCCCATGGGGTCGTGAGGCATGAAGAGCTGGCCAGTGCAAGGGCCTCAGAGTCCAGATCCCTGCCATGGTAACCATGTCCGTGAACAATCATTGACTTACAGGCTTTGGAGGAAAGCATTACTCAAGAGAAAAACAGAGCAAAAGCAGCGTTAGAGGAAGAACAGAAGAGAGTCCAAGAGCTGGAGAAGCGCTTAGCCGGCCAGAGGAAGGTAAGCAGCCCAGGGACACAGGCAGCGGAGCTCAAATGAAGGTCAGGCAGCTAGGAAGGACGGCCTGGGTCTCCGTCTGGGCCTGCCAATGCCAGATCCCCGGCTCTTAGCTGCCCACAGTCTGCCTGGGGCATTGTTGTGGGGAGTGAAGAGCTAACCCATGCGCTGCCTGGCACAGGGTCCAGATTCCTCCATGGTAACTATTAAACAGAAGCCATTGGTTTTCAGGCTTTGGAGGACAGCATGACTCAAGAGAAGAGCAGAGCACAGGACGCATTAGAGGAAGAACAGACCAGAGTCCAAGAGCTGGAGAAGCGCTTGACCCACCAGAAGGAGGTACGCAACTCGGGGAGATAAGAGTCGGCTGGAGCCCAAATCCGGCTTGAGGGCCGTATGGCAGTGAGTTCAGAACCACAGATGGTAGGGGGAGAGGGTGGTGGAACTTCCCTAGAGGACTTTGTCCCTGGGAGGGCTTAGCGACTTTAGGAAGCATGGGGGGCTCAAGGACAGGACTCTAAAATTGTAGCCTTGAGAGCCAGTTAGAAAAATTGAAACTGCATAAAATACAGCCACAGGTAGGACTTGGGAGACAGGTTGGCACAAGTGACACAAGCATCTTCTGCATTGGAGATTGTGTCCCAACACATAGAAATGGAGGAATTACAGAGTCCTGGGACTTCAGGGCCATGTGAATCCTCCAGCAACATGCTAAAATCCTCCAGCCTTCAGCTCTACCACCAAGGACTTGTCTACAGGCCAGGGAGGTCCATCCTGGTGCTGACACTTGGGGCTGGCAGAAGATGCTTCCTTTAGGTTGAGCTGAAATCAAACTCTTTTTCCCAGAAGGATATCAATCCTCCATCTACCTCCTGGGCTCCTGCAAGACCTCATCCACATAATAACCTTTTAGATGCTTGAAAACAGAGGCACCTGCTCCTCTCCGGACCCAAATGCCCTTGGTTCTCCTTACGTGCCTCACAGAACTGGAGCCTGGCTTTGTCCCCCACTGTCCCCCAGCCCGCTCTGCTCTCCAGAAGTCATATTTGGCAGTTCATGGGCTGAAAGGGGCCTGTGAAAATATCATGTTGGCCCCAGAGTATTTTGTTTGAACTCTAAAATTCACTTAAAAATTCAATTTCCGCCCTCTCTGAAAAGTCAGAAAATCTGGCCCTCCTTCCCACTCGGCAAAAATGGACTAGAGCTGAACCAAGTAGCAGCAGTTTGCTACAGTCCACACCGTTCTTTGTTGCATTAAACACAGCCCACTTCATCTTTGGTAACTGTCTGGCCTCTGTCAGCACCTGAGTTTGCAACCCAGCATCTGTTTTCTTCCCAAAGGGCAATAGCCAGAACCAGACACCAGACACGGTTCTCCAGCCGCGATGGCCTAGGGCAGGCCTCTCCTCTCCCTTGTTGAAGATGCTGTCCTTCTGTGGATGCACTTAAACTAGCTTTGGGGAGAGCTCTATTACAGTGTGGACTCGTGTGGACTTTGTGGTCGCCCTCAGATCTCTGAGTCTTTTCATAAAATGCTTTCAATAGCTGTTTGATCCTGAGGCAGCACAGAGGAGTATGACGTGTGCTGGCTCTGAAGCCTGATGAGACCTGAGTGCGAATCCAGCCTGGGCTGCTTCCTGGCTGCAGCAGGTCCCTCAGTACCTGCCTTCCTTAAAGTGTGGCTGTGCGGATCAGCGACCACGGACTGGGAAGTGTTCAGCCCAGAATCATGGCTCAGCAAAGGGCAGCTGTTACTATTACTCCTACTTCTACTTCTGCAGGACCTTGTTTCCATCGAGTCCCTCTCCATTCTCATCCCTTAGAGTAAAACCTCGCCCGCCCACCACTCAGGGAGAAGCCAGGAGACGCCTGGGCAGAACCCGCGCGATGTGATGTGACCCAGGGAGGGAAGATGTTTACACGGTGGGCCTCCCTGGGGTCTCCCAGACTGCCGTGCCTGGCGGCCCTCTGTAAACAGTGTCACTGAGGCCTCAGATGCCCATTTATAACATGGGTCCTGGCAGAGACAGAGCCTCAGGGGCTGGCTTCACACCCGTTCCACATGCAGCAGAGCTTAGTGTGCACCACCCGCTGCAGGGAGGGACGCGCGGTCAGCTGCCGCCCGCGTAACCATGCTCGTGTCTGTTACTGTCCCACTGAGGCTCCTCACACCCCGCACTCCCCCTGATCAGGTGGACTTATCTGTACGGTCCACCCCAGACTTTAGCACCAGCCGTCCCAGCTTGAAGGGGCCTTCCTCATACCACAGGATACTGTCACCCCCACCCTTTCTAAAACTATCTGTGTCAAAATTCACTAATTAACTTCCTTCTCATGAATCCTGACTTGTTTGAGGACTCTGTTTCAATGGTAAGAAACCCTAGCTGCCTGTATCGAGTGAGCATTCTTTTGTATTAAGAACAGTTCACAACATCCACTTGATTTGTGCACACACTAATGGTTTAGATCGGAAGCTGGCAAACTTATTCCCTAAAGAGCCAGACAGTATGTATTTTCAGTTCTGAGGGCCGTCCTCTCTGTCGCGACCGCTCAGTTCTGCTGTTGCAGAAGGAAGGCAGTCTTAGGCAATCCACAGTCAGTGTGGAGGTATTCCAATAAAACTTTATTTGCAGAAAGCAGGCAGCAGGCCAGATTTGGCCCGCAGGTCATAGTTTGCCAAGCCCTGGTTTCGAACACAGACTCTAGAGCAAAATGGGCCAGAGTTTGAATCCCTACTCAGGTAATATACTGGTAAATTAGGCAGATTCCTTAATCTCGGTTTCCTCATCTGCAAAGTGGAGATGACAGAGGAAATGCCTGACCCTTAATAATGAATGGTTATCATATGCCAAGCCCTTCACGTTCATCATCTCATCTGCTCCTTCCATGCAGGAAGCACTACCGTTGTCCCCTCTGTACAGATAAGGAAACTGGGGCTCTACAGCTTCTCACTTGCCCAAGGCCGTACAGTTAGGGAGAATGGACCTGGGACTCTAAGCTGGGCCTGCGACTCCAGCTACCAGGCTGGTAGCTCCTAGGCTGTACTGCCCAGAGGCTCCCATGGGGTCGTGAGGCATGAAGAGCTGGCCAGTGCAAGGGCCTCAGAGTCCAGATCCCTGCCATGGTAACCATGTCCGTGAACAATCATTGACTTACAGGCTTTGGAGGAAAGCATTACTCAAGAGAAAAACAGAGCAAAAGCAGCGTTAGAGGAAGAACAGAAGAGAGTCCAAGAGCTGGAGAAGCGCTTAGCCGGCCAGAGGAAGGTAAGCAGCCCAGGGACACAGGCAGCGGAGCTCAAATGAAGGTCAGGCAGCTAGGAAGGACGGCCTGGGTCTCCGTCTGGGCCTGCCAATGCCAGATCCCCGGCTCTTAGCTGCCCACAGTCTGCCTGGGGCATTGTTGTGGGGAGTGAAGAGCTAACCCATGCGCTGCCTGGCACAGGGTCCAGATTCCTCCATGGTAACTATTAAACAGAAGCCATTGGTTTTCAGGCTTTGGAGGACAGCATGACTCAAGAGAAGAGCAGAGCACAGGACGCATTAGAGGAAGAACAGACCAGAGTCCAAGAGCTGGAGAAGCGCTTGACCCACCAGAAGGAGGTACGCAACTCGGGGAGATAAGAGTCGGCTGGAGCCCAAATCCGGCTTGAGGGCCGTATGGCAGTGAGTTCAGAACCACAGATGGTAGGGGGAGAGGGTGGTGGAACTTCCCTAGAGGACTTTGTCCCTGGGAGGGCTTAGCGACTTTAGGAAGCATGGGGGGCTCAAGGACAGGACTCTAAAATTGTAGCCTTGAGAGCCAGTTAGAAAAATTGAAACTGCATAAAATACAGCCACAGGTAGGACTTGGGAGACAGGTTGGCACAAGTGACACAAGCATCTTCTGCATTGGAGATTGTGTCCCAACACATAGAAATGGAGGAATTACAGAGTCCTGGGACTTCAGGGCCATGTGAATCCTCCAGCAACATGCTAAAATCCTCCAGCCTTCAGCTCTACCACCAAGGACTTGTCTACAGGCCAGGGAGGTCCATCCTGGTGCTGACACTTGGGGCTGGCAGAAGATGCTTCCTTTAGGTTGAGCTGAAATCAAACTCTTTTTCCCAGAAGGATATCAATCCTCCATCTACCTCCTGGGCTCCTGCAAGACCTCATCCACATAATAACCTTTTAGATGCTTGAAAACAGAGGCACCTGCTCCTCTCCGGACCCAAATGCCCTTGGTTCTCCTTACGTGCCTCACAGAACTGGAGCCTGGCTTTGTCCCCCACTGTCCCCCAGCCCGCTCTGCTCTCCAGAAGTCATATTTGGCAGTTCATGGGCTGAAAGGGGCCTGTGAAAATATCATGTTGGCCCCAGAGTATTTTGTTTGAACTCTAAAATTCACTTAAAAATTCAATTTCCGCCCTCTCTGAAAAGTCAGAAAATCTGGCCCTCCTTCCCACTCGGCAAAAATGGACTAGAGCTGAACCAAGTAGCAGCAGTTTGCTACAGTCCACACCGTTCTTTGTTGCATTAAACACAGCCCACTTCATCTTTGGTAACTGTCTGGCCTCTGTCAGCACCTGAGTTTGCAACCCAGCATCTGTTTTCTTCCCAAAGGGCAATAGCCAGAACCAGACACCAGACACGGTTCTCCAGCCGCGATGGCCTAGGGCAGGCCTCTCCTCTCCCTTGTTGAAGATGCTGTCCTTCTGTGGATGCACTTAAACTAGCTTTGGGGAGAGCTCTATTACAGTGTGGACTCGTGTGGACTTTGTGGTCGCCCTCAGATCTCTGAGTCTTTTCATAAAATGCTTTCAATAGCTGTTTGATCCTGAGGCAGCACAGAGGAGTATGACGTGTGCTGGCTCTGAAGCCTGATGAGACCTGAGTGCGAATCCAGCCTGGGCTGCTTCCTGGCTGCAGCAGGTCCCTCAGTACCTGCCTTCCTTAAAGTGTGGCTGTGCGGATCAGCGACCACGGACTGGGAAGTGTTCAGCCCAGAATCATGGCTCAGCAAAGGGCAGCTGTTACTATTACTCCTACTTCTACTTCTGCAGGACCTTGTTTCCATCGAGTCCCTCTCCATTCTCATCCCTTAGAGTAAAACCTCGCCCGCCCACCACTCAGGGAGAAGCCAGGAGACGCCTGGGCAGAACCCGCGCGATGTGATGTGACCCAGGGAGGGAAGATGTTTACACGGTGGGCCTCCCTGGGGTCTCCCAGACTGCCGTGCCTGGCGGCCCTCTGTAAACAGTGTCACTGAGGCCAGGCCCTGAGTTATTTCCCCAGGGGTGGTAAGTAGGAGGAGGGTCTCCCAAGGGCTCACTGGGGCCAAATGCCACAGAGAAGTCAACAGCTCAGGGCTGGGGAGGGCCCCTGAATTTAGAGGTTTTGAGGTCATGGGGCACTTCAGGAGACAGATTTAAGGGAAGTCTGATGGGGGCACAGCCTCACTGCAAGGAGGACCTGTGGCCGGGTCACCTCAAGCCTAGGAAAACACCCCCACCTCTCCTGGTGGGACCTCTCCGAGGGTTCTTGATGAGTGAATCTGAGGTAAAGTCCAGACACAGAATTCAATCAACCTCAGTTATCTGATTTTCCTTTTTATTAGACCTTCTGCCACACTATCAGGTGAATCTTTAAGAACAACAGAATCTCTAGGTCATGATGTGGTTTTGAGGTGACATTAAGGGTCAATTCCCATTACCTGCCTAGGAACTCAGGAGCAAGTGGCTGAGGGGACAGGAGCTGCATGTGGCTCGTGTAAGGACAGTCTTCCCGCAGCGCCATCTCGGCTGCCAGGGGCTGCCAAGGGGAAGGCCCCAAGTGTAGACATGAGCTCAGATGCAGTGGAGACAGCCCTGAGTCACTGGACGCGCCAAGGCCTGTTTACAGGAAAATATCTTACCCCAAAGCCCACCTCATATGTTGAAAGTAAAAGTAAAGCTCCCGCAATGTGACTGCTCCCCAGTTTTGTTTAGGGCTGGTATTGGAACATGAGTGTCGGGGCTTTTTAAGTGAGTTCTTACTGTAAAACAGATAGCTCGTCAGCCATATTGTGGATTAAATACTTCATGCAGGGTGACCTGGGATCCTAACCACCACCTAGAGCAGAAACCATGTTTCAAGTTCTAGACATCTGACAGCTAAGCTGGCATTTAAAGCACAATCCATTTGAGAGTTCAAGTGCCCTTCTCTTCTCACAGTGACTAGAAACGGGCCTGCTGGCGATGTATGTCCTTCAGTAATTTGCATTAAGCCATTTAATTGAATGACTTAGCAGCAAGTAACTTCCTAAATAAAATTCCTTCCTCACGGCTGCCTAACCACACTTTCTTCCCTATGAGAGCTTCACTTGGGAGGTTCACTCCCACCCCTTCTAGAAATCGGTGGGTTGTGCCTGCTTAATTCAATACACAGCCCTCTTGAAACCTGATTATTTCTAAAAGATTTATTTCAATAATGGGAAATTCCATTATTAATGAGATTCTTCTTTTTATCAGAGAAGCTGCCTGGCACAGTGATAAGAGCTCAGACTCCAAAATAAGACAGACCTGGTTCCCTCTGATCACTTGCTCCGAGCTGAGGACCTCTGTTTGCAGGCAGCGTGATCTCCCCCTGTGCAGGGTTCGAATCCTGAGCTCACCACTAACAAACTGCATGACCCTTGGGCCCTGACCAACCTCTGTGCCTCAGTTTCATCATCTATTAAATGGGGCCACTGAGGTCTCCAGTAGTTTATTATGAGAGTAAACCGTGTGTGAAGCACTGGCCAAGGGCCCTGGCATGTGACACCAACCCCAGCATTTGGGCTGGTATCATGATTATTGGTATCATCATCGTGACTGATCCCCCCTTGATATGCAGCCAACCAAAAAGACTGGTCATTGGTCTTTCAGGTGTTGGAGACCAGCATGGCCCATGAGAAAAGAAAAGCAAAGGAGGCCTTAGAGACAGAAAAGAGAAAAGTTCAAGATCTGGAGACCCAGTTAACCCACCAGAAGGAGGTATGAGGAGCAGAGGGAGAGAAAGTGGGCTATGGCAGCCAGAACCTCCGAGGAAGGAGCCCGGAAGCTGGACGCAAGGCCGTGTTTCAGGCCCCGAGAGAGAGCAGGGAGGCAAAGCAGGCAGGTCCCAGGGCAGCGCCCCCATTCGAAGCTGCTGGTATCACATCACACAGCTCACCGACCAGCCGGCCCAGGGCAGGTCACGGAACCCCCTGCACCTCAGTTAAAATGGGAGCAGAAACAGTCTCACGGCCTCATGGGAGTTTATGAGGTAATATTTGTGAAGGACGCAGAATGGCGCCTCACACATGGAGGGGCCTCTGTGTAGGCAGGCCGTGCTCAACGACCTGGGGAGGAGAGACGCACTCAGACAGAGAGCCCTGGGTCGGAGTCTGGGTCCGTCCCTCAGCCAGCGTCCTCCTCTCATCATCAAAAGATAATATGACACAACCCAGTGTGGGCACAGAACACTCCCTACAGCTCAGCATCCTGGTGTCACAGAGACGTGAACATTGCAGGGTGAGCTGGAATACATGGGTACATATGCACACACAGGGAGTCACAGCAAGGAAGTGCCAGAGGCCGGCACCTTCTAGAATGGATGAGAAGTGTTCCCGAAGGAGATGGGAGGGTGGGGAAGTCTGAGTGCCAGGCCCAGGCTGACCTGGAGACATCCCCAGGCAGCCAGCTCTGCCAGCCTGGGCACAGGGCCCGCCAGCCACCCCTGCCCGGGGCCGCCGTGGAAGGCCGGAAGGAAGGATGCCCCTCAGGTCAGCCCAAAGGCCCCAGTCATGCCCTAGAAGTCAGAGAAGGACTCTTGGGGAACTGGAGGCCAGGGAGGAGGCCTCAGTGACCTATACTAACCTCTCTGTGAGGTGGGCCCCAGGGATGGGGGACACAGACACATGCCGGCCCTCTTGGAGCTCCCAGAAAAGGAGTGATAACTCCGTGAATTGTTTAATTCCGTTTCATTCATCCATCCACAAATATTTACTGAGCACCTGCTGTGTGCCAGGCCCTGTCGGGTGTTGGGAAGACCACAGTGCACAAGGTGGCCTAGGGCCGTGCCCTCCCAGGGCTTCCAGTCTAGGGCGGATGGACAGACAACCATGTAAACAAATACACTGGATGACTCTGGAGCCACAGCACAGGGGGACGATCAAACAGAGGGCGGGTTAGAGAGTGACTCGCAGTCAGGGAGAACCTCTCTGAGGAGGTGACCTCCGAGAGACCTGGAGTGGGGGAGGAGCGCCAAGGGAGGTTGGAGGAGAGAATGCCGCCAAGTAAAGTGGCCTGAGTGCAAAGGCAGGCACCTGAATTAACCAGGGGTCGGGGGCAGGGGCGGGGGCAGGAGGACCCCCCTGAAGCCAGGACAGTGTGGAGGCCACGTGAGGGGTCAGAGGGGGGAAGCTGGAAGGAGACACAGTGGGTGAAGCAAGTTATGGCAAGAGAGCTTATGGGCTAAAAGTTTGGATTCTGGTTCCATTTCTGGTTCTGCCCTAACACGCTGTGTGACCCTGGGCAAGCCCCTTGCCCTCTTTGTGCCCTCTTCTGTAATGTGGGTGTAATGACAGCCACCCTAGAGGTTTGTCCTGAGGAAACAATGCAGTCATTGTAAAGCACCTGTCAGGAGAGGTCAGAGTCCATGTGGGGTAGGAAGGATGGTGTGGCCAGCCCAGGGGAGGTGGCAGTATTGGGCAATCAAGCAAAGACCTTGCCAGTGGGACTGTGCCTCCCTGTGCAGGAAATGAGGACAGAGCACAGGTGGGATGAGGGAGCACCATACGGAATGGGCCTTGTTAAGCAGTGGGACCCAAACTGTTGTCAGCAGCTGTCCACACGGAGTTCTTCATATATATGAGTTGGGGTGGGGTCTCAAAGCATGGGCTCCTGCTAGACGGCGTGGCAGATTCTGCCAGACTGAGTGTGAACATGTAAGCATGTCTCCTGCCTCCCCATAGGGTGGGTTTGAATCGGGATGACTGGTAAGGTACGGTCCAGAGCCAGGTGGTTGAATGGTTAGGGCAGGGCACTGGCATCCAATTTTGCACCCCCACTACCTGGTGGTGTGACCTTGGCATATTACAGTCTCCATGTCCTCACCTGTAAAGCAGGGATAATTGGGCAGAGGCTAACTGGGGGTTTGCAGATTAGACGCATTAATGCATTCAGTACCTGGTGCCAAGAATTAAAGAGTGGGAGCATCATCATTATTTTCATTTGTAATATGCCAAGCAGCGTGTAATAGGAGAAGGGAAAGAGCCCTTCCGGCAGAGCATGCGGAAGGTGGCTGGTGGCCTCTTACAACTAGCAGGATGGGGGCTGGACAGTCTTAAGCAGACTTGGCAGTGGGAAAATGCCAAGCCCGTGCAGGGAGGTGAGTCAGAGCCCAGGTTGGGTGGGGAGGCCTGGGTGTAGCGCAGGGAGGGCTGGATGGAGGCCTTGGTCTGAGGCTATGTTAAAATAGCGGGGCTGTTGGGAAGCTCATCTCTTCCTCCAGGGCCACACATCCTGAAGTCTCATTCCATCCCCAGCATCGGTTCCCTATAACAATTTTCAGTGGTTTTCCTTTTTGCCAAATAATGTATGTTTGCTCAAGAAAATGTAGAAGCTACAGACCAGTAAAAAGAAGAAGATGGAAGTTACCACAGTCCCAGTCCCCTAGAACTGTGTACGTTTCAGTGCCCATCTCTTCTGGCTTTCACCTATGCATATACTTGAAATGTTTCCCCATGGGCTTCATATTTATATAGGGGCACAATGGCAAGTTGGCAATAGCAGCAGGTAGTTTCCAACCTCACGCTGGC